TGTATGTATGTATGTATGTATGTATGTATGTATGTATGTATGTATGTATGTATGTATGTATGTATGTAGGGCAAATGAACTTCCAAACATGAATGAGTTAAGGTCTTGACAACACAGTTAAACATTTCACAGCTTAGCTGAAATTCAGCTTTGGTCTTGCCCGGGTCTCACAACCACTTCCGACGCATTTTAAGGTCTATCGAGTGGTTACGGTACCCCCATTGTGTCATAGTTAAGCTGTCATTGGGCCACAGGGCAGATGACTCATATTATTAGTCAAAATCTATCGCTTTTAAATTGTCATTAATCATTGAATAGGAACTCAGTTACAATGATCCTTGCCTTCCAAAATGTCTTTCTGTCCAGAGTGAACTGCAGCTTCATACTCAGCACCTCTAATGCATTTTGATACTACTCCACCGCGAGCCAGCCTCACTCAAATCATCTTTGTGAAAAAAGCTCATCTATCCCTTCTTAAATCAGCTTGAGCGTCTCGGATGACTAATTACTTATTCAAGAATCACCGATATCCCAACAGCCGAAAATAAATCGTGTCGGCTATGTGGCGCCACAAACAAGAGCTAGGCATATTTTCTCGCTTCACATCGACACATAAAATACAAATCCTTTCAAAAATGGTATCTCGACAGATTCGTCCCAAACCATTTCTTCCTTTTCCGCCAGTACCACTTCATGTTGAGAGTGGGCCCTTTTACGGCGTTTTCCCGAATTCAACCTCTTCGGGAGACCCTCGTGAACCTGTTTTTCCTTCTCTCCCCTATACCATAGCAAAAGGCTCGCCAAAATCTTGGCTAATAGAGCCTTTCCGAAGCCTGAATTTCGTCATTTTTGTGTGTATTTCCACCGTCTTCGCGGCACAACCCGGCCTGTCCTTGTCGAAAAGTAAACCTCTGCGCCATATCTGGTCCCCGGTTAGAACTTGGCACCGCCCACAGAGGCCATGGAAACTCCTTAAACAATAACACATTTCATGGTTCATCTCTTTTTTTGTCCAAGTATATAGCTAGACAGCCTGGTGGATGAGTTGACAAGCCAATCCCTCCACTAAAGGAATTGACGCATGTTTAGCCAAGTCTCTTTATTGATTATTTCATATCGCGCCACTTTCGAATTAAGCAGGACAATTTTAACTCCTCTCCACTCTTGTGTTGAAAGTGTTTCTCTCAAGTCCGATTTCGACGCTCGCCTGACTGAGTCTTCGTTAGGTCGTTCACGCCTGAATGACTTGACATTTGCCGGAGATGAAGAGGTGAATGGTTTTGGAAAAATGTAAAATCAAAGGACAAAGGATAGTGGGGAAAGTTTGAAATGAGGCACAAGCATAAATTTGCCCATGTAACTAGGCTTTATGAGGCAGAGTGATATGATGGAAATAGTGTTCAAAACTATGCATGTTTTTTAAGATTAACATGCATAACTTTGCTATTTCTTTTCTGACAAAACTGCAAGCCAAGCATGTTTTCTTAACCTGGCACTGCCTAGTTTTGGTTTACATGCTATTCTTTCTTCATTTTTGCACTTACTCGATCTCAGACAGGTCATTATACATATACTGAGGAAAAGTGTATTTCGATAAATCGCCAAAATATTACTGTTGCTGAGAGTTTTCATTTTGTAGGAAAGTGCATGATGAAGAGATTCGTAGGTCGATTTCATTAGAAGACGACGCCTGATTTCATTTGTATTCCAGCCTTTTGGCTTTAATACTGTGTTCAGGTTGACAGAGTACATAATGCATAAAATAGAAATGTCATGACTACTCATATAATTATTCATATTTATATATATATAAGGCATACTCCCTTTTTATGGATGACAACTGGCCGAGATTCCTTTCGTATTATGAAGGAAAATATCCGAGCTGTAATAGATTTTTGCAAATGTCTTACGCCAACAATTAGTCAATAAGATTAAACGGCTCTACCCTACAGGATAAATATATACTCATTAACAAAATATATTATAAATAGATTATTAGAGAATGGTTTGCTTTGTTCTTTTATACACGAACGCGTCTGTGCGTGTCTGTGCGTTGACGTCTGTACACAATGCTGACCATAACTCAGAGTAATTATAAAAAAAGCTTATCTTCAGCCAAGGCCACCAGGTGCTCGTCTTATTAAACTAATTCAGTTGAACTCTTTAATTGAGGCCACTCAGTTGACGGCATGACTCTGTCCGTTTGATTCGGTCCAGATTACATTCTTTTCCATTTCATAGAACAGAGAACATGCTTGTCCACTGATACTTGTTAGTATGAAGAGTTGCTTTATTGCAAAATTTTCTTTATCACTCAGCCCCTCCAGGCCGAACCTTAGTTACAACCCTACCGGCGACTTTTTATCATTCCTCAACTTTGTGGTGGGGCCCAATTTTATTTTATTTAATGCTTACAGTGACACAATTTTAGGCAGTTTATAATAAGGTTTTTTAATATATCGCTACTATTCCAAGCATTTTAAGCTTGCTTACGGTCGATTGTATGACTGAGACAAAACTGTTGTGTCGAAAATGGAAAAATACACTTTACTGTAAGAAGCTTATACTATGAGATTAAAATAGATTATTTTTTCCCTTACCTTAGAAATCAACCTAGACAATATCCTTGGAACGAATTTCAAGGGAGATTCATTCCTGGCTTTCACCAATGCGGGCATAATGAGCAGGTAAGAGTTTTCCCAGTTCATTCAATATTGGTAATCCAGCCGGAGTTGATTTCATTTGTTTTCCTTTGAGGTTGTAGAATATAGTTGCCATTTTTGAGCACTGTCATGGTTCGACTGCCGCTTGGGTTGTTGATAAGTCCTATGCGAGGTCGAAGCTGCAGTTCACCCTGGATGAGAACACCTATTGGGAGTGCAAGGCTATGTGAAATTGGGGGGAGAACATCAATTATACGCATATCTTTGTGGGAAAATTCACCTACCAGTCCTTCAGAACCTTAAACAAAATAGGATGAAGACAACTCATATATCTGATTTACTGATAGTCTCGAAAGTCTACTGATTCACGAAAAAAACAAAATATAGTTGCCATTGTTGGGCAAAATCAGTTCAGCCGACTAGATGGGATAAACATATTTGTTGATCAATCCTTTTCCCTCTACTGGGACGTGGATAAATTTGGAGATTTTGGCTGGATTTCAATGAAGACTGAGCTTCTTCGTGACGAATCGACCTATGGCCAGATAGCATGAAAAGGTCCACTTTCCGCCAAAGCTCTTCCACAGAATGTGCTCCTACACATTCACAAGCACAAAATCATACATAGGCAATGCTACCTCGAATTCGGATGGTAGCGTTGAATAGACAAGAGAATTAGCTACTCATGGAAGTCGGCTGCAACCCAGAGAGGCGACATAAAATTATTAAAAAAATCTGATTTTCTCCACCTCTTTATGGCCGGCCAAGCCACCAAAGACATAGCCACCGTGATATCCAGATTCGGATCTTCACCAATTAACTTTGGATCACATTCTTATAGTCTAGTCTTTAGAACCAGTCAATTTTTTCATTAAATCTGCCTTAAAGCCCAAATATTTAACTTTTATTTTGCATCGAATTAAAGCTATTGTTACGCAGCTTTTTGCTTTTTTTGAACATAGTATATTATTTATTGAAACTCTGATAGCCTATTTCAGCCCTTACAATGAATTAGACTGGAAATACTATCATTTCGTCTAGGAGATAACGGAAGTTGATTTTTCAAAACTGTGTTGTTGGGTAGATAGACAATCTACCACTGCGAATTGGAGGTTATACAGTAGGCCATTAAAGTGGTGAACAAGTTCATTTATATTGCCTCAGAGCTAAGTTTTCATCTTCTGAGTTTAATTCTATCCACGATTAGTTGAAAAGAATGTCAAATTATACCTAAAAATTGATTGTCACATGAAGTCAAAATGGCGTTTTAATCCAGTGTGGACTACGTTTTTGATTTCATCTAGTTCTACCTAGCACCACCAGCGAGAATCTAACTGCGGATATTTGGATGCCCATCAGCTGAATCTCTGTTGCGTTGCAAAAATTACGGGTCCTCGAGGCAAAGCTGACCTCTGTAAATTGACCAATTTGGTGGGAAATATGCGTTAATGAGTGAACACTTGCTTGCTCTATTCTTAATGATTTA